AAATGTATTTTCATGGCCTCTGCCACTGTATATCACGTTTTGTATTACTTAGTTGTAACTAGTGCCCGGTAGACATAAAAATAAATAAGATACTAGACAACACAACGTACTGTTGAAATTATGGAGTTCAGAGATAAGTCAGGTGATGCTTAATGGAAGTAATTGATGAAGGGTTTTTTTTTTGCATCAGATTTTAATTGCGTATGCAGCTATCTAGCTATGACACAATATCAGAGAAAAGTACAGAAAAGATGACTCAATTTACAAGAGGAGCACTCATGCCTCGGATTTCATTTGCAAGTACCACTGCGAAGTTATGGTGGCTTTTTCTTCACCCCAAGTCAACCCTCATCCGTGAGTACCCACCCAGGGGAACGTCTCAAAAACCCTGAGTTATCCAGACATGCCTCTGTCATCCATCAGATTTTTTCCGCGCGAAATGTAATCTGAGATGTCTCCTTCCCAAGTGGAGTAGGTGCCCAGGCTACTCAAACTATACCAGAGAACACCACCAGGAGGCGGACCACAACACCTTCCATCGTCGGCTTGTTTTTATAGTGTCGCCCGCACTCTCGCAACCGAAGACTTGGCACGCACAAAGCTCAATTTGTAAAAACTCCTTTCCAAAACTCAAAATCCCACGCCTGTTGAGACTGTATCCAATCCTCTGCATCATCTTATCAACTTGTCCTGATCCCTCTCACGTCTGTCCCAAAAAGCTATCTCCCAAAATTGTGCTCCACGCTTTGCTTCCTCCGTCGGGTGTAAATATCGGCGTGGGCGTGTATTTGGTGACCGGCTGAGGCCAGAGAAAGTCGACGAGAGATGTGGTCATTGAAACGAGGATGTACTAGGTCGTACTTGTAGACTTGATGAAGCTTAGTTGAGAATCGGACTTTTTTGGAGTGAAAGATTGACATGGTGGAGTAATTTGAATTTTTGCCTCATGGGCCAACTTCTTTGATGTTGCGAAATTTGACTGAACTTGGCTCTGGGAGAATATTTCACTCCCAGGTTCGTAGAGAGCACCACTGACAGGTGTTCAGTCTTGCCCTCCTGATGAAGGGTTTGGTTGTTGAGTTTTCTATGATTTCTGTGTTGGGATACATTATGTCGATCCTACTAGGCTCGACAATTAGTAGTCCCGACTGACTGGTGTTTGGCGAACGGAGATTGCGTATACCCTGTGCTAGCGTTGTTTATTGCTGTTAATAGGAGATCCCGCACGGGCTATCTATTGGGGTTAAAAGAGTCTGGTACCTGTGATTAATAGAGTAGTCGAATTGACATCCTTTTATCCTTCATTAATGCATAAGCTTCCCTTTACCAATAAAGTCCATGAACTAAGTAGTGGGCTATACATTTCAATACGTACATATCAAAATGTACGTACTCTGATCACTTGTATAACTTGATAAGGGACACTGCACAGTAAATGTAAGGCGTAGATGAATCAGGATTGACTGGATATCCCACAGTAGTGATATGAGTTGGGTCTTATAGAAGTCCCCATCCACCAAACTGTGCTCCAATTATCTACTTTATTCTAAACGTGTCTCATTCCCTCGTATAACTGAGAAGTACTCTGTCAATAACTTGTGTCATCAAAGAATGACTACTCCTCCACTTGACAGATCATCTCTACGACTCGTTGCTTACATTACTCGGTGAATAACAACTGACGCGTCTATTGTGCAGACAGTGCACGGCTCGCAACTAAGCGAGTCGTGTAATCCGATACTGGAGGTTCCACGTTCTATCTACCAGGACATGATCTGTTTCTCTAACAGTTACAGCAGATGCATTGCTCCGGAGAAGCCTCCGTTAGGTGTGGTTAACAAGCAGAAAAGATTGGAGTTCGCCCAATCACACTTAGATTGGAGCGATGAACAATAAAGTCGCATAGTATGGGTCGATGAAATCTGGGTATCGGATGATTCTCATATGAAACCTCGTGTCACAAGAAAAGAACGTATAAATTCTATCAAAATCTTCCTAGTACTCACAGCAGAGTTTAGCCTGATGATGAGTTTGATGAAACCTGTATTGTGGCGCATCATGCTCATGGGAACTGTTGGATGTTTTGGTGATCATTTTCTGGATCACAGAAAGGCTCATTCCTTGTATGGGAGAAGTAGTGGGGATCAATGAGGGCCTCGTCCTCTTGTGAAAGGATTTTGCCCCTTTTGAATCAATTTCACTTCGAAAAATCAGAAATTTTGTATATGCACAACAATGCACCATGTCAGAAAGCATCCTCAACTATTGAGGCGCTGCGTGAGGTTGGAATAACGCTTATGAGATGGCCATCTTACTCTATGGAACTGAACCTCATCGAGCTATTGTGGAACATCTTACAAAACCAAATTCAGGTAAATAGTCCTGAGATAAATGGGATCAGGTTTGTGCGCTCTGCCACGTTAAGAATATGGCTAGAGACCGCATGGGACTCTATCCCTTCTGAGGGCTATTGTCACTAGTTAGCAGCATGCACGAAAGATGTGTGGCGGTCATAAAAGCAAATGGAGGCTACACGGAGTATTAGGATGGAGTAGACTAATACAAAACATGTAGTACGCTTTCATTTAACTCGTGAGCCATACTGAGGGCTCCGATGTATACTACTGTAATACAGAGCAATAATTTTGAAATAGATGTTTGATTTGTGTTCATTAATTAAATCGAGTTACCGAACACAAATTAAACATCTATTTATTTTTTAATCTTTTAATGAAGACCCATATATTTTTCTTTTTAATTTGAACCCCATTTCCATAAATTTAGACTGTCACGGAATATCATTGGTTAGTACCCTTGCTCGTATAGCTAGTGGACGAACTGGATGTGGGCCGACATAGAGGCTGAGCCAATTAAATCCTTATGAACAAGGATCTAACCCCAGTCATTTTACACATGTACTTTTTCTACCCATAAAACACCGTAGATCATAACATAATATTCTCCTTGCCTTACCAGAAAATATTTTCTCTTTCGCATCAGGTTTTAATTGCGTATGTAGCAATCTAGCTATGGCACAATATTAAAGAAAAGTTCAGTACAGATGATTCAACGTAAGGCAGGAGCACTCATGCCTCGGATTTCATTTGCAAGTACCACTGCGAAGTAAGGGCGGCTTTTTCTTCGCCCCAAGTCAACCCTCATCCATGCATACCCACCCAGGGGAACGTCTCAAAAACCCTGAGTTATCCAGACATGCCTCCATCATCCATTTACTTTCCTCCGCGCGAAATGAAATCTTAGGCGTCTTCTTCATAAGTTGAGTAGGTGCCCAGGCTACTCAAAATATACCAGAGAACACTACCAGGAGGCGGACCGCGGCATCATCCATCATTGACTTGTGTTTATAATGTCAGCTGTACTCTCGCAAGCGACGTCTTGACGCGCACAATGCACAATTTGTAAAACCCCTTGCCAAAATTCGAAGTTTCACGCCAGTCGAGGTTATATCCATCCTCTGCACCATTTTGTGAACTTGTCCTTATCCCCCTCACATCCATCCCAAAGAACTATCTTCCAGATTTGTGCGCCACACTTTGCTTCCTCCGTCGGGTGTAAATATCGGCGTGGGCGTCTATCTGGCGACCAGCTAAGTCCAGAGAAAGTCGACAAGAGGTGTGGTCATTGGAATGAGGATGTACTAGGTCGTACTTGTAGACTAGATGAAGCTTAGATGAGAATCGGACTCTTTGGGAATGAAAAATGGACGTGGTTAAGTATTTTGGATCATTGCCTCGTGGGCCAACTTGTTCGGTATTGCGAAGTTTAACTGAAATTGTCTCTGGGAGAATATTCCACTCCCAGGTTTGTAGAGGACACCGCGTACAGGTGTTCCGTCTTGCCCTCCAAGAGAAAAGATTACAATCAGCACGACTCACCTTACATGTCCGACCTCTTCATGCGCTGCAAACAGCCACCGGAACTGGCTCTACCAAGATGGGCGTACGCCGTCTAATTGCGACAAGGACTGGCCACGGAGACTACGCCGACAACCATCAACGTTTTAACCACGAACATGAAGATCTGAAATGCGTTTGCGGCCGAGAGAAAGGCCCTAGCATTTTTCAGAGTGCCGACTTGCTTTGCAACGTTGGAGAAGCTGTGAGAAATTGGCCCCGCTGGAGCCAAGGAGATGATTGGGGAGAAGGGATGGCAGAAGTTTTTCCAATTAGCACTACAAGCAGATGCTACAGTCTGCCGAAGAATGAACAGGTTGGGAGGTGACCACAGTGAGACGGTTTCCAACTCGGGAGGGGATGTGCTTGGAAGATAGCGATGCAGCGCAGGGCTCTATAACTAAGGCATTTATTGTTCCTTTATATATATTTTTTTGTCGCTTCTGGCTTTAATGCCGGTCATGTAGGTAGCAATGAGCTCTCAGAGCCCATCTATCGGTGTCACGTCTAAATTGATGTTAGGTTCGCCCTGTCACGTTAAATATTTCAAATTCAAATTCACTTTACATGTCCTTGACAAACATAATTGTGTACAAAGAAATCCAGCCGAGTTATTCAATCATTTTTAGATCAAGAAATCAGGCTTCCCTTCTGACCAAAACGTGCAGGGCGAACAACATAAGACTGTTTTTCAGTGATATTATGAATCCATTCCCTGATAATGTATCAGGATTCAGTTCTACATGGCAAATCCTAAATGAAATTGTTCCTATGGATACTTTATTCAAATTTGCCGTTCAGACCATTGACATGATATTATTCTGTAACATCGCTGGTCGCTTGAAAGGTGCTTTTAGTCTTGCTCAGATTTCTAAACACCACTTATGCTTTAAGTTAAGCCACTCACACCCTCTAATAGATGAGATTAAACCCATATGTCCGTATGATCTAGCAAGCTGGTTGCTGCTTTTACCCCAGACCCCTTTGCGTCAACGCCATGCTCAACTCCTCGTAATTAGGCCTTCATTTATATAGCTAACCAGATCCAAACACCAAAAATTAACAATCGTCACTTTAGGCCATCATCTAAAATTTTCCCTGCCTCTGTAGAAAAATCAAGGAGGTTTCAGATGGGTCTGCAGCAGATATACTGGACGGCGTCACGTTCCTATCATTAAACATGTGCCATGAACCTGCCGGCTTTCCTGCTGCTAATTGATCTAGGCTTCTAGCTAATATGCGGTAATGTCCAGATGCAAGAGTGCTACCAGAATGGAGCCCAAGTCCATATACGTCATATGTAAATGGGCCTACGCCTCGGGGATCTTGGTTCTTCGAGCCAGCCTGGTTGGGTAGAACATTATTTTCGAAGCTGATGGAGAGTGGAACTAATACGCGAGTCTTTATCTTTGATAAGTTATTGTTCATGCGCATAAATGAGATAATGAGTGTGTCCGGCATATAAACTAGATAAATTCGCCCTCTATGAGGTGTTTGTTTCCCACATAATGAGCACTGAAGCGACTGGTATTCAATGAGTTCACTCTTAGGCCCGTAGCTCGCATCTAGAACCTCACCGAGAGTGCACGAGCCTTCTGGAGGTATGGCAAGAAGAAGTTGCTGAAATTGGTCAAATACTGGGCGAGATTTACCACAGATATCGCACGTCACAATCCTTGCAGATACACCCTTCATTTTGAGAGTAATCGGTGATCCCAGATTAGATGTCCAGTCTGTCCAGAATATAGCCGCAGCATCCAAGATTGTTGGTGCTTCCTCAAGTAGCCCCTCAATTTCTTCAATTGGTCGGCGGCCAGGACGATTCCGCAGTGGATTTAATTCGTCATCTAATATATCTATGAGCATGACAAGGAATTCATTGCAATCATGTTGCACCTGTGTCCCACCAAATCCCCCTGGGCCATGATTATGTATAGCATTAACATATCCCTAAGGGTAGATATTAACATCGTAGAAAATGTTTGTTTTTGGAAATAATGCTTACCTGAAAGGTTGATGGGTTGATAAAATCATAGTGGCCAAACCACAGGTGTGCGAAAACACTGCTCAAGCAGCGCACCATTAGCTGAGGTGGGTCGGTACTTTCACCTTGTTTTCGAGGAATACGAGGTTCTGATGGGTAGACATAATTGCGTATGAGCTCCCGAAACCAGGGGGTAGCACTAAGACCTTGTAATACAGTATTCATATAACACAAAACCCCTGGATTGTTGAGGCCCGTAAGTCCCAGCGGCCGTGTATTGTCGGAAATTGTCGAGTCTTCACTCGAAACTGTTGCTATGGCTACATTCTTTTCCGTTATCCCACTTGATCTTTGACGTTGAATAGCGGGGGCTGGTCGAGTAGGAGGCTTTGGCATTACACCAACTATCTCTTTATGATAGATGCTTGTACTGAGAGGTGATATCATGGATTCCTGAATTGCTGGAAGCTCTGGGTATCGGCGAATGAAATCTTCGGTTGACCTAGCATATATCATTTCCTCGTTTACTTCTGTATGTTCATTTTGTTTGATATCCATATCTTCCTTAATTGTACTAGCCCACACAGTCTCCTGCTCTGTCGTAAGTGGCCGAGAGTAATGTTTTCTTTGCTTTTTCGAGAAAGAATTTGGCACTTCCCGATTAGGATGTCGCCCAATAGGCCGAGCCATTTTTTTTCCAGTTGCAGGAATTGGAATAGAACTACCAGTGGACGAAGTCGCCAGCGAACTTGGACCAAGAAGATCTACCCACCCATCTAGTCCGGATACTAATAGGAGAGGTTGATATTGAAGTTTTTTATCGTAGCCATACTCATACACTGCCATGGCAAAGTCTACGAGCTTGCTGTTATCGGATATCTTTGTTGATGATTGATCATAGACTACGACGAGGTTAAATTCATGCCTTTTCTCAAACATTTTCTGCTCCGCATCAGGCGCTATTACCATACTATCTGCTAACTCTTCTCCAGATATACCACATCGTAATGTTATAGGTTCGACACAAATTATAAACTGAGACATTATGTGACCTTGGTCAAACTCTTCGCGGCTTCTTAGGTCAACAAGAAGTATTTTCAGGGAGTTTGTGCCCTGCGCGAGCAATCCAACAAGTTGTTCACAGTTAACACTGGTAGAGCCTGGTGGAACAGAGGGTAGTCTGTTATGCTCTCCACCGAGGCTTGATCTATGTGTTATAGAAGGAAAACACCTTGTTCCATCGACAATCGGACTCGGGATAACATTTGATATTGGTGGTGCATTTTGCTGCCCGCTACCTATATAGGAATTATTCCTAACACTTGAAGGCAAATTAGATATGCCTGCTGTTTCTGTTCCTCGTGCGGGGCTATAGATGGCGTCAGGAGCTCTAGGTAAGTCTGATATAGCTACATCGAAGGTTTCTGTTATTCGGGACGTAGATCTAGGCACAGACGGCATATCTCGGGGCCCACCAGGCTTTGCACTTGTAATTATCTTGGGAACACCAGTTATTGGCTTCGGAGCATTGGGAATAAGGTGAGTGCGAATTCGAGGGTCCTGTTTAGGGCAATCTGATTCAGCAGTTCGTAGACGTGCAAATCTAGCGGTCAGATCGTCTCGATCTACGAATTTATCATTTATGTTGAAAGCTGGAACAATGTTTCCATGAAAAGAACCAGGTTTAGGCTGAATGAAAGAAGGCTGTTTGCAAGAGGAACTATTTGTGGAAACTGAATCAGTTAGTGATTCTTGTGAAAAGTTCCAGTGTGCGACCTGGGATATGCTTTTATTTTGATAGCTAGATAATGGTTCTGAGCTCTGTCTGAGTTTAGTCGATTGCGTTCCATGTAGTAAGTTGTTCTCCCTGATGATTTCTTTCGCCTTCATAAATTTCATGCTCTGGCCCTGAATCTTTTTGGAAAGTCCAATGTATAGCCTATATAGTTCTGGACGGTCAGTCTGAAGAGCAGGGTATTCTTTGTGTCGTGGTATTATTTCCGTCGCAATGATGTATGCCTGGAGGTACTCTTGTAAAGCAACATCTGGCCGTCCAAATTCCAGCGAAGTACCCGCTATCTTTGCATATTGTTCGCACTCCCGTAAAATTGAGCCAATAGGTGATTTTATATTTACAGCAGGCCTTACATTCACCAAGTCATCATGATGTAGCATAGCCCTCGCCAAATTTTTAGAGATATCCATTACCATGATTACCCTCTTTCCTTAGATATTCTTCCGAAGTGGATGATACTGCTAGGTGGAGTGGCACTCATTCCTCTTCACTAAAGTTTTGCTTACGCAGCATCTCGAATTCCACACTAGTTCGATAAATGTTCAGATCAAGGGAAAGGTGTTATTTGAAGCATACGGCTGAGGATAAATTGAGTTGACGAAGAGCGCATATGTGGCGTTAACTGTGAAAGCTTTGAGAAGCTGCAAGTTATTAATAAAGTGCAGATAACCTTTCTTGAATCTAACATAGAGATGTAAATAGGAGACCATATGTTCCAGTTACGGATCTAGCGTTGTTCGGATTTGCAAGGCTGGTTATTTTGGAGATCCGCGATAACCCCACGGTCACGAAGTCTAAACGTCCGCATCATCAACTCTGGCCAAATTTAAGCAACCAACAGAAGTTTCACTACAGGGGCACAAAATATGTGCCGTATTGTACTAGAAGTAATTAAAAAATCCCGAGATATCTGGCGATCTGAATTCTAGGCAGCTTCTAAAATGATGGCCAGCTGGTTCACATCTAGCTCGCAGCTGGATGAGCAAATTGAGAAAGCAACTTCCAGCTCACTGTGGGTCTCCCATTCAAATTAAATCTCATAGGGACAAGCTAATCTACTTCAGAGTCGACATTGCACTCAACCTTGAGATATCTGATGTCATACGCTCAAAGGCCGTGGGGTCAAGAGAAGCAATGCGATCCTTAAAGAAACGTCTAGGGAACAAGAACCCCAATACACAATTAAGTGCACTCCATGTAAGTCCCGCTTGACAATATGGCTCACCCGTATACTAAAAATGTTATCAGCTCACAGACACTTGTGTGAAGAATGGTGGTTCTCATTTTCTATCTGAAATCGCCTCTCGTGAATTCATGGACAACCTAGTCTCATTAATCAAAGCTCATGGTGGAGCGGCAGTCAATGAAGATGTTAAAGCGAAGATTCTCGAACTTATACAGAGCTGGGCTACTGCCACCAAGAATCAATTCGAATACTCCTACATCGAAGAAACTTACGAAGGCCTACTCAGAGACGGCTTCCACTTTCCACCCAAGACCGACGTTGCAAAAAGCATGCTGATCAGCAGTGCCGTAAGGTTTCCCATTCAAATCTCAAATCTAGAAGATTGACATGTCTTAGCCTCCAGAATGGACCGACTCAGATGTCTGCATGCGCTGCAGAAGTTTATTCACGTTTACAAACCGAAAACATCATTGTAGAAACTGTGGAAATGTGTTTGATCATCAATGTTCTAGCAAGACTCTTCCCTTGCCACATCATGGTATAACACAAGCGGTTCGAGTTGATGATGGTTGCTACTTAAAATTGACGAGCAAAGCTAATAAAGGAATAAGTCCTATAAATGAATACTCTTCCGTAGATAGATCACATCAAAGTCGATTACAGAATACTATGCTACCCCGTAGCGCACGTGTAGACGACAGTTTTGACGAAGATCTCAAAAACGCACTTGCAATGAGCCTCGAAGAAGTCAAAAGCCAATCCCGGAGCAGCAACGTAACGCATATGCACAATAATACCATTAATGATACCAACAATCAACCTGCGTCAAAAGCACGCGATAGTGATGATGATGATTTAAAGGCAGCTATAGCGGCTTCTCTCGCAGACATGGAAGAGCAGAAAGAAAAACACACCGCTAGGTATAAAGCGGGCTCTAATAACCCGGAAAACTTAGACAAGCTATCTGGAAGTCAAGCTGTGACTCAATCTGACAACGAACTCACTCCCATGGAGATATCTAATATCAACCTATTCTCTACGTTGATTGACCGGCTTCAAACTCAACCACAAGGTACTATACTGAGAGAAACAAAGATCCAAGAGCTTTTTGAAAGCGTCGGAAAACTTCGACCAAAGCTCGCCAGAACATACGGTGAGACGATAAGCAAGCACGGTAGGCAGTAGCAGCTTTGAACTGATAACTTTGCTAATAAAGTAGACGCCCTCCTTGACTTACATTCTAAACTTTCTACAGTAGTCCGACATTATGATCGACTGTTAGAGGAACGGCTGTCAAATGCTTATGGACAGCATAATGTTAGCAGGTATAATTCATTGCAAAGGCCAGAATCTAGCACGTATCCTCCTCTACCTCAAAATAGGCCCATGAACGGCTCAGAACAATTTTATGTGAAAGATTCACCTCATGCTTTGCAACCAAAGCTCTCATTCCAGCTAGGTCATGGGTATCAGCCTCATGAACATAGAAATCTTACGTCTGTCTCAAGCTACAATACTCCTGATCAGAGTACTGCACAACATGACCAACATCATAACCCTGGTTGGCAGAATTCAAACTCACCGATATTGAAGGAGCCACAACAGATTAGTTACAGCGCACAAAACGTTTTCACTCCGTCATCTACTCCGAAGTCAGCAAATCTGTCCACAGCCCATCATCAACACGTATCGCATGGAGTATCCGAAGCTCGAACAAATATAGCTTCTGGGTCAAATCCCGAATTTTATTACAAAAATGCACCACAAATACATGGTGGGCACCACAGTTTCAAACAGCAAATACCTTCGCAGCCAGCGGAATATTCACGTCCAGAAATACCTCAGTCAGGCTATTCTCAACGTGTTATAGCACAGTCGCCCAATGCTCATACTTATGAAGCCCAAGCTAACCATCAAGGTCCCCTTCCTCATCAGAACTATCAACCTCAAACGCAAACAATACCCCAATCTTCTATGATACTGCCATCAAGGCAAATACCAATGCAGCCACAAGCAGTCTTCAATCAAGATTGTTTCCCAGCGGCACCCCAACACACTCCTAAGCAAGAGGTTGCGGAAGAGTGTCTGATTGAACTATAGAGTCTTTTCGATAAATTTTATGACAGGAGACAAATGAAGCAGAATATTTGTAGGACCGTTTGGATTATTTGAGGGTAGATTGGCGTCTGGTACTTAAGGATATGAAAGAACGTGATTAGAATATAAGTACCGCAATAATCAGTTTTACAATTTGGTGTAATGTCAGCAGTGTGACTAAAGAACTGGAGTTTTTTCGTGGGATATTCCGAGAAATAATAACCTTTCTGAATTTCATGTTGCAGGGCACAGAAGTTCAAATTAATAGCGAAGATTTTGCTGAGCATGAAAATTTCAGAGTGGTCTGGAGGAAATGAAGCGATAGAATATCTCTTCGTGGTCTACCTTCCAGTTACTTGAATTTCGGTTAACTGTTGTTAGGCGAGCATTGATATCAAGGTAGCGTATGAAAGTTTAACTGGTCCAAATCTCGCTACTTGCTATCATGATGTGTAGATACAGTCGATTTGTGACATGAATCGTGGAAAGGATGCATAGTACTGAGGGCTTTGCGCAACGGAAGTTTCTCTAAGGGCTATTCGTAACATGCAGGCTGATCTTTATGATGGGCGATGATACGAAACTAGCCAGGCCCAGTAATGCTAGTGACAGCCAATCGCAGGAGAAGTAGACGAGAAGGGAGCATGAGCGGCCTGCGCGGGTTTTATTTTCTTGGGGACGAAACTCAACACATGTCAGTAGTGCCATCTACGAACCTCCATCTCTCACCGTGGAGTCTGCAGAGCTGAGACTGAGTTAAAAGTCCTCACTTCGATGAGGATTCCCAATCACTTACGCGGTCTTGATCGTCTTCATCCCCAAGCACAACTCACCTATCACCATTATCATGAAGCTAATCACGATCAGATCAGGTATTAGAGTCATAGCCCTTCTCATCATCAACCCTTGATCATGGAGGAAAAGCAATCCAATGAGTTTCCGGAGCGTACTCAGCACCCGATACGGAGATGGTGGATTGGATCAAGTCGGCCCCTTGTGTTACAAAGAAGGAGGATGTAGATGAAAATGCGCACCTCATGTGGTCCCGATGTCTAGGTCTTGCCTGGCTAGGGCAGTAAGTTTTAAAATACTTTTTTTCGCGCTCGCAGTTTCTATCGCTACTATTATTTTTTCTTGAGCAGAAGGTTCCATGGAAAATGTGGCTGAATTCAACGTCTCAATAATGAGCTAAATGGCTATTCATCACGGGCAATACATCAACAGTCTTTAAAAGAAGAACGGAGGATAGAAGCACTATAAAAAGTGCGGCCTGGGTCATAGAGGAGCTCAATGAGCTAGAAAGGCTATGACTCAAGTAATTCAATTAATTATCCATACACAATGATCTCTTCTTTCTTGGTTTCGGCAACCGAGAGTAGATCTGAGCCAGGTAGCAGGCATGGAGACCCTTTTGCGTCGCCAGCAAAGAAATCCGGAACTTTTTTTCACATCAGATTTCAATTACGTATGCAGCTATCCAGCTATGACACAATATCAACGAAAAGTACAAAATAGATGATTCAACGTAAGGCAGGAGCACTCATGCCTCGGATTTCATTTGCAAGTACCACTGCGAAGTAAGGGCGGCTTTTTCTTCGCCCCAAGTCAACCCTCATCCATGCATACCCACCCAGGGGAACGTCTCAAAAACCCTGAGTTATCCAGACATGCCTCCATCATCCATTTACTTTCCTCCGCGCGAAATGAAATCTTAAGCGTCTTCTTCATAAGTTGAGTAGGTGCCCAGATTGACTGAACTTGCCTCTGGGAGAATATTTCACTCCCAGGTTCGTAGAGGACACCGCGTACAGGTGCTCAGTCTTGCCCTCCGAGATCCGGACTGAAGTCGTAGATAAATTCTATTAGGGTCTGGTTGAGTAGTGCAGTCTTCATATAGAATTTCAAGCATGAAGATCATTAGAATATGGGAGTTTTAGTTTGTCACTTGGACGTATCAGGCTATCACCCCACTCTGCATTTTTTTAGAGCTCGGCAAGCGAGCAATCGAGCCAAATCAAAGGGCATCTCTATATTTAATTTTTAAAACAACAATTTGGCGTCGTGTCCATCCATAACAGCAAGAAAGAATGTGTTACATTCTAATTAACCTAACCTTGGAGAGCTACTCGACGTATAAGTGTTCATGACGGTATCGATGGCATTGAACACAAAATTTTCACACTGTTGTTTGAAGAAATGTGTTGTGATATACAATAAGGTTGTGCGTGTCAAAGCAACGAGACATTACGTGAACTAAACCAAGTGTGGCTAGCAAGTCACAGTGAAGGACTTGCCAAGGCGCGTGCGCAGAGTATCAGGAACACTTTGTGTGTCCAGGTCACGGGACTTTGCGTTGAGAAGATTAGTGGGAGCTAATTATGTAATCATGCCTTGTCTTGTCTTGTTCATTTATGTGCAAGGTATAGTGATTCCCGTTTCACTCCTACTGGAGCTTAAGCACGGGTGGGGCCGGGCTGGATCAGGTTAACTACCGTTAAGTACATCTACCTCGTCCCACCCAAATGACCGGACTACCTCAGACTTCACCCATGTGTTGAATCATGTCAAGCTCAACCGTCCAGAGAACCCCCTTTTGGCGCGCCGAACCGCAAATTCTTCCTCAGCCTCGGCCACCACGCGCCCGAGCCCTTGACACCTTCGTCATCTGTAACTTTTCCCTTCAATCCATTCACAGCTTTGGCTCATCTCATCCAGGGGTCGTTTTCTTCATTGGAGGCCTCGTCCAGTCGCCCACCAAGGCACTGGTGCCCCAACCTTTGTGGAACGCTCTAGTTGATGTGCCGGCGAGATGTCGTACGTATTTCGTCGGTGGCGATTCGTCGCAGGTCGAGTTGTTGGTGCCTTTGGCCGAGGCGAGGACGCATTTAAGGCCAGTATTTCGACCGTACCTTCACAGCGACTGGCAGTTGCGGAGGGTCGGAAATCCTCTTGCTTCTTAGTTGGCGATTTAGCTTTTGGAGGTATGTGATTGCTTTGGTAGGTGGTGAGATGATTGTGGAGAGGGCCGCGAGATGAGTTTGGCTAGGAGTGATTTTCCAGAGAAATAGATAATAAGACCATGAAGGAGTCGGTTCGTATCTGGAGTGTAGATGGTTGTTTTTGTTGAGCTGTGCAGTCGTGAAATCTCTGCAAGTCGGATTTTCGACCAAAAATGAGCCAATACCACTCCTCCCGATCGCCAACTCGACGAAAACACTCAAATTCAGCCTTTGTCGTGACTGAATCTCGGCTCTGGGGGAATATTTCACTCCCAAGTTCGTAGAGGACACCACTGACAGGTGTTCAGCCCTCGTCTTCCTTGTGTAATCATGTATAAGCGTGCTTGTAACATTAGGAGTTTCCTGTTGGGATTATGAACGAACAACTTACGTCTGATTTAACGAACTCCACAGGCATCCCGTGATACTTATTACAGGCGTGCTTTGAGTTCCAAGTCATCGTAAGCCACTTCGCAACCCCAACACACGAACGCACAACTTCTCTTGTAGAGATTGACCCTGCTGCTTCATTCCTTCATATATATATACATATAGATTCTAATTAATCTAATCTCCACACCTTCCTCTACCTTCAGCTCCGCAGACTGTTAAGCTCCAGACTCCAAGATGTCGTACACAACCTCATAATCATAACAGCATGGCTATTAAGTGATGTAAAAAGAGACTGGATACCGGTCCGCGGTGTCTCCAAATCTGAGAGTGTAGTATTCTTCCGGAGCCAATATTCCGCTGACCCCCAATGGTCAAATCAATTTTATTCTAGCTTAAATTCCTCTCACGTGAAACGATACCGGGCTGCTTTTGGTGGGAATCTCCTGATTGCAGGGTTTGCACGACTACACAAATCACCAAGGAAATTATAAAGTATATTTAGGAAGACACTAAGCTATACCGAATATCGTACTCTTCCGAATCCTTCAAATGATCTTTCAACTCCCAGTTTAATGCCAAAAAAACCATATTACCGTTAGCGGCCTCTTTTCGCAACATTGTCGTCGATGAGAAATTACCAGAGGACGTCAATCTCGGGTTGCTAAGTGGGAAGGTTCGATGAAGAAATTAAAGCCTGCAAGTAAAAATTTTGGGCTGTGGATGCTTTGGAAGCGGCGGAATAGAGAATTCAAGACCAGGAGGATATCATATAGAAGGTTGACAGCGGCAGTTATTCCTTCAAATCCCTTACAAAATTTTCAAAGTGCTCAATAACGACCGGGCCTCACTCTTAAACTAGCTGGGTTCTTTTGGAAGCGTTTACCCGTCGAATAGTCTATACAGACTGAGCTTACCGTTACTTGGCCTTCAAAGTCAAATATTGTGCACCGACCCGACGCCAAATAATTGAAAATGATGCAAAGAACTATCGGAAGCCTGTATCTTCCTACCTAGCACCCCACGACTTTATATTAAAATATCAGGTGAAATTTTTTGCATAGGAATCTCTTAAGATAACACTTAATGAACAAGGATCTAGGAATAATGGAATAAACTTTTTTGTTTCAATAATTATCTTTTCTCAAAACGTTACTATAAATCACATCTAAGACCTTTTGCTTACATGCTGAGGATACGTATGCAGGTAGTAAATCCAATTTTTTGCCTTCGTCCAGCCCCCTTTAAGTAGGACTACTCACAATTCTCCACTGGTCTAGGGTTTAAAGGGGTCTTTTGTCCTCAATTTTATCTCCCCTCCAACCGACAAATCCAAGGCCGTTTGTGGACATGAGGCAGCCGGAGAAAATCGCAAAAAACCACTGGGTTCGGGGCTCCCTGATACCGAAATCTGGGCTAAATCCGAAGAAATAGCGACTTTGTGAAGAGTTCACAGAGGCCGGCCAGCTGGGCGCTGCAGACTTGTGGGTACCTCGGGAAATTCAATCTCTGCCTTTCTAGCCTCCTCTCGGCATTTTCTTGAAGGTCACAATGAAATCTCCGAAAATTTTTGATAGAGCGTGACTTTTGTATGTTAGCTTAGCCAAACTTCTT